TTTTTTTTTTTTTTTTTTTTTTTTTTTTTTTTTTTTTTTTTTTTTTTTTTTTTTTTTTTTTTTTTTTTTTGTTTTTTTTTTTTTTTTTTTTTTTTTTTTTTTTTTTTTTTTTTTTTTTTTTTTTTTTCAAAAGAATCTGTTTGGAGGTAAATCAAAACAAACCAAAAAAATATTGCAGCAACATCAAACCCGAAAGTCGCATTGACTTCAGATTTTTTTGTCTAGAATACAATTGATATTTTGTACAGGCTGACTGGAGCTCAGTGTCATTTTGCATTGTTTGTATTTTGTAAAGACCCACTGAGCTCAACGTCATTTATAGAGACCGATTGAATTGAATTTACTGATTTCGGCCGAAAACGAAACCAAATCGGAATCGAAGTCAAAAGTTAAACGAGACTTTCGGCTATGAAATCGAAAGATTTAGATCGTTTGAAAATCGTTCGCGCATAACTTCTGCGTTAGTCGAAAAATGATGGGGGAATGGAAGTGGGGGGGTACAGATATTAATATTCTTTTTATTTAAAAAAATGCAAACATCGTATTTTAGTAGGTACATATCTAATGAATACTTTGGATTAGAATTAAAAGGTAATTTAGAGTTGTTTAAAATGTATTTTTAAACAGATATCAATCAAAAGATTTTCCTATGTCATAATTACTACGCTGCCTAGACAGATTTGGTATTGATCAAAATGTTGGCCTGTATAGACATATTTGTTATTGATCAAAGGCTTGACCTATACAGACAAATGTGGTATTGATCAAAAGCTTGGGCTTTATAGACAGACTTGGTATTGATCAAAAGTTTGGTTTAAATAGACAGATGTGGTATTGATCAAAAGCATTTGGCTTTATAGACAGACTTGTTATTGATCAAAGGCTTGGTCTATATAGAAAGATTAGTTATTGATCAAACGCTTAGCCTTTATAGACAGATTTGATATTGATTAAAAGCTTGGTCTATATAGAAAGATAAGTTATTGATCAAAAGCTTGGCCTTTATAGACAGATTTGTTATTGATCAAAGCTTGGTCTATATAGAAAGATAAGTTATTGATCAAAAGCTTGGCCTTTATAGACAGATTTGTTATTGATCAAAGGCTTGGTCTATATAGAAAGATTAGTTATTGATCAAAAGCTTGGCCTTTATAGACAGATTTGATATTGATCAAAAGCTTGGTCTATATAGAAAGATAAGTTATTGATCAAAAGCTTGGCCTTTATAGACAGATTTGTTATTGATCAAAAGCTTGGTCTATATAGAAAGATAAGTTATTGATCAAAAGCTTGGCCTTTATAGAGCTTGGTCTATATAGAAAGATAAGTTATTGATCAAAAGCTTGGCCTTTATAGACAGATTTGTTATTGATCAAAAGCTTGGTCTATATAGAAAGATAAGTTATTGATCAAAAGCTTGGCCTTTATAGACAGATTTGTTATTGATCAAAAGCTTGGTCTATATAGAAAGATTTGGTGTCGATCAAAACCTTGGCCTATAGAGACAGATTTAGTATCGATCAAGGCTGGCCGATGTATTGTTATTGGAATCGCCCATTAAATGTCCAGAAACTAAAACTACTTCGAAAGGGATCATATTGCAAATTTCTGCGCCGAAATCAAAACCGAAATTCGGTCGGCCTCTAGCTATATTTTATAATATATGTTTTGTAAAAGCTTCCTGGAGCTCGAGTTCTTTTATTATAATTTTTTTTTTGGTTGGTTTCTGGGTTAGGGGCATCATAACTCTTTAGTTGAATGGGGGGGGGGTAATGAGCCACAAAAAAAGCTTGAGAACCACTGCATTTTGATTTTTCTACAACAAGTATACTCAGTGACCCCTAGCGTCATTATTGATGTGCGGTTGTGAATACTTCTCAATACACATTGTACGCCCCAGACATCCATTTTGTTCGATATATCGATGGATTTGAAGTCCTGTATTTACATGGCTCCGTTCTGCTGCACGGTGAGAGGGCAGGTTCAATCTATTTAATCGATTTATGAGACTTTGTTTTAGAAATTTCCTACCCCCCCCACCCCCCACTTCTCCCAAAAGAATAACAGAAACCTTACAATACAGGTTTGTCCACCGTTATTATCAACTATTTATTTTTAACCTTTCGTGTCTCAGACAACGGCTTCTCATCCACATTAAGCATACTACAACGGTGTGTGTGACATCAGACGCACAGGCCACACTGCAGTCGCTACACCGGGGCCTCATTACTAGCTACTCTGTAGAAGCGAGGACTCTCCGTCCATATCTGTGAAGGTAAAGTCGGTGCTTAACTTGTTTTGTCTGAAGTTAGTGTGTGACAAGATAGCATTGAGCTTTAGTTCACTCGATACAATTCCTTTTAAATTAGCTTCCAAGCGTCAATTTTTGATATGAAGGCACCATTATTTTGTGCGTGGCTTCTTTTTGGGACAAAACTGAGAATTTGATCTCATGGTAATTTAAAAGTTGTCACAAGGCTCGAGAAAGAAATCGCATCAAAATCATGAACGATAATATGAACGAAATTGGATCGTGTGAACTGAGCCTAAGACATCGTTTGATTAAATTTTATAAACTTTTAAGCTTTAATTCAGTTATTCTATTTTGTTAAGATTTTTTTTAACCGTTCTTTTAACTGTATTCGTGTAACAAAAAATATTTATACTCTACTATTTAGGGTCATTTTTTTAAAATGTAAGTAATTTGTCCAACGTCAATAATACGATCATCCATTTGTCCACCACACAATTTAATAACAACAACTGATGATAACCATTTATATTTTTCAGAGATCACAAAAATATTCCAACACCAAGTTTTGAGCACCGTTTCGCACGACGATTGTATCATATACAGCCTTGGCGTGAAACCTTACTATTGTTATTTTCTAGACAAGTTCCAGAATTCGTTTCCTATAAATAGCCGAGATAAAGCTAGGACTCTTTTTCTTTGCTTGATGTCCCCTTAAAGATTTTTTCACTGCACATTCAGAGATCTTTCGGAGTAACTCATTTTACAATATCAAAAACTGGACTATTCTGTAAGCTATTAGAATGAATCAAGGTGTCAGATTTCTCTGTGTGCTGTTTTGTGTGATGTCGATGGTCACAGCCTCATCACGTCATCATAGAAATGAATCCTTGACCCGTGGACAGCACGAGGACAGCAGTCCATCCGGAAACTCTCCAGGTATTCTGATCCTGCGAAATGAGTCTTCCCTGCTGAGAGTAAAGAAGGCGATTGATAAGTCCACCACGGGGTTCACTGAAAGCGAAAAGAAAATTATCCTGGATGCCCACAATGCGGAGAGGCGAATTTCGGGTGCCAGTGATATGATGATTTTAACATGGGATGACGCCCTTGAGAAGTTCGCCCAGGCGTGGGCGTCGAAATGTAATTTTGCTCACCAAACTGAGGCCCAGAGAACGAACGTTGGAAATTTCCCTGTGGTTGGGGAAAACCTCGCTGCATCAACCGACGCATCGGGATATCCTGCGGGGGCTGTGAGCCAGTGGAATGGCGAGAAGGCGGACTACACCTACGACACCAACAGCTGCTCTAAAACTTGCGGGCATTACACGGCAGACGTCTGGGCCACGACGAGGTCCGTTGGTTGTGGGATCAAGTACTGTGACCCCTTGCAAGGCGTCGCGTGGCCCGGGTATTTCGTCGTCTGCAGCTACGGCCCTGGCGGGAACTACGTCGGACAGAAGCCGTACAAAAAGGGCGCAGCTTGCTCGGCGTGTCCAAGCGATGCCAAGTACTGCATCGACGGCCTGTGCTCCACGACCCAGGACACCCAGGGCACGACTCAGGGCACCCAGGGCACGACCCAGGGCACCCAGAGAACCACCCAGGGCACCCAGAGCACGACCCAGGGCTCCGACTCGAGCAGTGAGATGGTCAGCATCAGCACCTATCTGTTATGCGGTTATATGGTTATCTCAGCAGTCATTTTTCAAGTCATTGTTTAATTTTTGTATGTGAGGTGATGAAGGGCACGTCATTAATGAGGCCCTCAAACAATATACAAGGTTGTTTGTGTAATTAAGTCTTGACCTTGAACCACTTTAGACCATTTCCTTAGAAACAACTTTAGACCATTTTCTTGGAACAACTTTAAACTTTTTCCTTGACACACATTTAGATCATTTCTTGGGAACAACTTGAGACCCTTTCCTTAATAAACTTTTTTTCCTTAGAACAACTTTAGACTATTTACTTATAACAAAGTTTTCCTTAAAACATTTCATTAGAACAATTTTAGTCCATTTCCTATCAACATGTTTAGACCTTTTCCTTGAAAAACATTTATACCATTTCTTTGGAACAACTTTAGACCCTTTCCTTATAACAACGTTGCTCCCTAGAGCATTTCCGACCATTTACTTAAAACAGCTTTATACAATTTCCTTATAAATACTTTAGACCATTTCCATTAGAACAGCTTTATACAATTTCCTTATAAATACTTGAGACCATTTCCATTAGAACAGCTTTATACAATTTCCTTATAAATACTTGAGACCATTTCCATTAGAACAGCTTTATACAATTTCCTTATAAATACTTGAGACCATTTCCATTAGAACAGCTTTATACAATTTCCTTATAAATACTTGAGACCATTTCCATTGGAACAGCTTTAAACTTGAGCTCCTGAACTAAATCTGTAAAAAAAAAAAAAAAAAAAACACACACACACACAAAATAAATGTGTATGCGTTTATTGTATTAAGTGGTCGATGCTTTCAAATGTAATGAGACTAAAAACCTGTCCATTTACCGCAAAGTAACAAATGATTTTATTGTGGGGAAAAACTCTCAGTTCGGTAGATGCAGTTACTTTGGTCACGACGGTACTCAACGTCTGATCGCATCAACAAATCAACATAAAGGAGTCTACTTTTCATTTTTAGAATTTACCATAATTGTCACTTTGTTCCAATTCTCATCGAGTCCTGTCATAGTACAAATTAAGATTATACCTACAAATGATACGTTTTAATTGACACGTTGCATATCTCATACAACACTTTTCCATTTTTTTTTGGGGGGGGGGGGCGGGGGGGGGGGGGGACGGGGGGGGGGTTAATCTTTTGTTTTAAGCGATAAAAAATTATTGCACATTCTGCCAGGGGGAAAATCCGCTAGTGATAGAAGCCGACAAAGACATTGGCCACCAGTGAGACTTGATGCGTTTGTTTATAGAAGTCATGTCGTAGTCAATATACGGACATTTTGTATGATAAACAGATAAGGTGGTTTTTTCGCCATAAGGAAGTGGGTGTTGAGAATTAAGGGACAGACAATTCAAGAGAAAGCACTCAACATTTAAATAATATTTATCGGGTTAAATCCCTTTGAATATTAACCTAGATAATGTCATAAAGTTGGAGAGTTGAGTTACAAGGACGGTGACAAAAATGTGCAGATTCCAAAAAATGTGAGCTTTTCTGTTTTGCTAAGAGATAATTAGTTAAGTCATTCTTCTGATGATGTACCTAGTGTATCAATGAATCTTCGTATCGCTATGATAGAATTGAGCTTTTCACCTTCGTAACTCGCCTCAGAAAAAGATGTCAGTTTTGAACAATTTAACTTATGGCAGACCCTGTGCCCAATGGCACACCCTGTCATCAATGATAGACCCTGTCACCAAAGGCAGACCCTGTCATTAATCAGATTTTCCAAAAAATCTTATCTTTTCGATTTCCAGAGAGACAAGCGCCTTAGGTACATGCTTATCATATATTTGCACCAAAATTTGCAACTGTGGCCCTTTGTAATTAAAGTTGATAAGATCACTTTCCTTATTGACATATTCAGAATCAAGGATGGTTTTACTTGCACAAGTCGCAATATCGAAATTTTCAGTTCAAAGATGGTTTTTACTTTCAAAAGTCACAACCTGATTTACACCATCCTTTTTTTTGAAAAATGCAGGGGATGGGAGACAGGTCGTCGCCTTGGAGACCGTTTTAGAGAACACCTGTAAAACATCAATAAACAAGCCCTTCGTCCGGTTTCTAAAGATTTAAATAAAGATTTAGTTTATAATGCTAACCGTATCTAAATTATTAGACATAGACTTTATTGGTACATTGTATGCTGTTAATAAACCTGATAAAATTTATATGAAAAAAAAAATAATTCAAAAATTAATGCTTTGACTTCATACGGTAAAAACTGAATTCACAATGTTACATATGCTGCAATGTCTTTTTCCTGTTTGGTTTATAAATTTTTCTTCCACACACTTTTATTCCGTTTTTTTTTTATTCTTTTTTTTTTTTTTTTTGGTTTGGGGACTTGTGCCTATTCTTGTGTTTTATTTTTTTTTCGTTTTTACTTATGGCATAAATATATATATTAAGCAAATTGATTAATACTTATAATTTTTTTCAATTTTGTTGATTTTTATTTTTTTTTTCTTTTTTTTTTTTTTTGTTTTTTTTTTTTTTTTTTTTTTTTTTTTTTTGGTTTGGGGACTTGTGCCTATTCTTGTGTTTTATTTTTCTTTCGATTTTACTTATGGCATAAATATATATATTAAGCAAATTGATTAATACTTATAATTTATTTCAATATTGTTGATTTTCGTTCTACTGATGAAGGCATTTGCCGAAACGTTTTCATTGGTATTCTGATTTCTGTGTAACCATAATTAAAGCTTTACATAAATTGTTTTATTTACACAAATCGTTTGTGTCTCTTTGAATCTACTTGAATGCTTTATCGCAGTGCAACACGTTTAGGCCTTGTAAGCTTCATTCACTTGTCAAATATATAGTCAGTAAAACTTTTGATTGGATTGCTACCAGGCTGGTGTAGGAACCTCTGATTCCTGTTTGTTTGCTTTTACATACAAATGAATTTTTAAAGGATTTTTTAAATAATAATTTAGTTTTTTCTTATTAAGATAGATAAGGAAAGATAAGATAGGTTAAGATAAGATACGATAGGATATGATGTGATAAGATAGTATAAGGTACGATAATAAAAGATAAGATAAGAAAATTTAAGATAAGGTAAGATAGGATATGAAAATATAAGATATGATAAGATAGATAGGAAGAAAAGATAAGATAAGATTGATAAGATACGATAAAATTAGATAAGATTACATTCTCTTATTGATAAAATAAATGGAAATACTTTTAAAAAAATTAAAATATAAATATTCATGTTCAGGTCATAAATAAATACATAGTTTAACCTAAACAGCCTTTTATGATGATATCAATTTAAACACAAGACATTTAAAGTGTTTCTCTAGCGTAGAGATCAGCAATAAGTGAACTCCATTTGTGTCGATAATGACTTAATTTGTGATCATTTAGGTTTGGTAACCGATGGTGGGAGCACGTGGGTAAATTCGTACAGACTGTGGAACAAAAGAGTAAATGTATCTTTTGGTCCAAATTTTTAAGACAATGAATTCACCCTGATCGAGTTGATCTTTTAGGTATCTATAATAGAGTTTTGGGTGGGCGGTATTATTCAAATTTGTTTTAGTTTTAAAACAGCATTTTTCTTCAAATAATAATAATAAAGTTTATTTGAAAAACACGCTTCATCCCCAAAAGCTCGAAGCGCGGTACAAAGTCATCCACATTAAAAGGAGAAATAAAAACAATCTAAAATTTACATACGAGCAAAACCGAGTCAAAGTCTTTCATCACGTTTCAACCATAAGCAACACAAGCCAATATACATTAATTAGGAAAAATGGTAGACAGCATCATCCAAGTAGGTGTTTGCGAAATAGATGTGTTTTTAAATCGGTTTTAAAGGACTCCAGTGTCTGGCTGTTTCTGAGAGCGATGAGAAGGGCGTTCCAAATTGTTGGGCCGGCAAATGCAAAAGTGCGCTTTCCGTAAGTCTCAAGGCGAACACACGGTATCGATATTTTGCCACTATCGGATGAGCGGAGCTGTCTAGAGGGGACATAAAGCGTCATGAGTGCTTTGAGATAGGACGGCGCCAGGTCATGCAAGCAGCGGTAGCACAAATTTGCAATTTTGTACTCTATGCGAGCGTGGACCGGCAGTGCATTGCAGCTCTCTCAGAAGTTTTTGAGCATGCGGGCCGCATTATTCTGTGCTCTTTGAATTTTATCCAGGAGCGTAGCTGAGAGACCCACCGTGAGAGCATAGCAGTAGTCCATGCGTGATAACACGAATGCAGACATCAGTCGCTTTGATGCTTCGAACGTTAAGAAAGGTCTGATATGACTAATCCTGCGCAGCTCTAGAAAAATCGCCTTGCAAAGCATGTGATTTTCCATAGTTAGATTTATGTCTAAGTAGACACCCAGCGTATCGATTAAGCTGCCGACAAATCGAGTAAAGACAAAATGGATACCTGGCCCTCATCACAAGATGACAGAAGGTCGTTTACGACGCGCAACAGGGCTGTCTCAGTAGAGTGATGCGTCCTGTAAGCTGATTGGAAAGGTTCAAGCAAGTTACATTGAATGATGTGATTCAGGAGTTGGCGGAGAACGACTTTTTCTAAGATTTTGGATAGAAATAGTAGATTTGAGATGGGGCGATAATTTTCCAACAAATTTGGGTCAAAACTTGCTTTCTTTAACAGTGGTGTTACAATCACCTCTTTAAAAGATGATGGAACAGTACCAGTTGTCAAGGACTGATTTATGATACAAGTGATGATGGGGACTATTTCATCCAGACATTAATACAACAGCCCTGTTGAAAGAGGGTCGAGTGAGCACGACTTTCGAGTGAGCACGACTTTCTTGGGGTATCAGCCAGGATTTTTCTCACATTCGATTCACTGACTTCAACAAATTCGCCCATTGGAGAGCCGTTGAAGAGTGAGAATTCTGGAGCAGTATCGCTGCAACTGTCAAGTTTCGCCCTGATATTCTCAGCTTTTGTAATAAAGTAGTCATTTAGAGCGTCTGGCAGCTCTTCTACAGCAATGTTATTTGGCAGAGATGTATCCTTGTGTTTACCGGCCAGCTGACCCACCATGCGAAATAAGTCCTTGCTTTAGCTGCTTTCTGTAATCTGATGACTAACATGCTCAGTCTTAACTGCAAGGACCAACTTTTTGGTTCGTTCCCTGTGGTCAACAAAGATTTGTCGGTGCACATAGTTCCTCAAGTCAATCATATACAGTTTGTTTAACATGACCAGCTTTCTTGGTTAGTCTATTTAATCGTTGTTTGATGTCAGACGATGAATTCCCACACCCGCAAGCAATACTAAAGTTTAGAAGGCTTCCAATTGTTGGACTGTAGAATAAGTTAATAACTTGTTTGTTTACGCCGAAGTTGTGCAATTGCTTAAAATCTGACAAGTCTTTCGTTGATTTTTTTTTATACCAACTGCACTTATCCATTCGGGTATTCAACATGTCAGACATTGAAACAAGGAAAGGAAGGAGAGATTCTAAGACCAATTTCATGGAATACATTAAACAAAGACTGGGCAGACTCAGGCTCTTTTCATACTTAGTATAAGACTTTTGTAGCCATGGCTGGTTTAAGACTTTGGTTGGCAGCAGTTTGCGCATCCACATTTTTAACTTTCACGCCCTTTTATAAAGACTGCACATATAAACTAAACAATCCTCATTTCCCGCGCACAATTAGGCACTCTGACGGGTTCGATATGGCGTGGAAGTGTAAACAAACGAAATGTTGTCTAAGTTAAAACTATGCGCCTTCGTGAATGTTTGATTGATTGTCTCTTAGAAGACTTTAACTTTATCGGCATTCTGCGGATCTGAACGTTGTTTGACGAAAGGATTCAAAAGAAAATTGTCCCATCGTTTGCAAGGCAAGTTAATGGCCGCGGTAGCTGACTTTTTGCTATACACGAGTGTCATCTTCGTGACGGCGGTAAACGAGCTTAGCTCGATGCTTCAGCAAAACACTTCCGTAACCTTCGCTGAGCACGCTGAAAACTTAATGGTAAACGACCTCAGCGTCGTTCATGTCTCCGGGACTGGACCTGTTGTGAGGAGAAGTAGAAGGGATGTCGATCGCAACACCGTTGGTTTCACCGAAAGGGAAAAGGTTGCCATAAGGGACGCTCACAACGCTGAGAGGCGCCAGTCGGGCGCCAGCGACATGATGAAAATGAGGTGGGACGACACGCTGGAACGCTTCGCCCAGGATTGGGCCTCTGGGTGTAGACACGGGGTCCGCAGCGAGAGCCAAAGGTCAGGCGTTGGAGAATACGTGGTTGTCGGTGAGAACATTTACGTCACCACAGAGGAGGACGAGCTTCCGGTCGCTGCCGTGAGCTCGTGGATCGCCGAGAAGGACAACTACGACTACGAGGGCAACGAGTGCCGTGGCGCGTGCGGCTTTTACCAGGCGGTCGTCTGGGCCGAGACCAGGTTCCTGGGCTGCGGACTCAAGTACTGCCCCAACCTGCAAGGAAGCCCGTCCCCGGGCTACTACGTCGTCTGCGATTACGGCCCAGCCGCCGACCCGGGGGACAGGAGGCCATTCAAGAAGGGCGACCCTTGTTTGGATTGCCCCGAAGACGCTCGAGACTGTGTCCATGAACTGTGCTACGACCAGAGCACCTGGTCTCCGGGTGAAAACCTGGCCACCAGGCTGACGGTGAATTGTATCACGGTGGCGGTGTCCTTTCTCATCAAAGTACAAATCACATTCGTTTGAAACTGGTGCCTCATGGTTGGAGCTGTGACGATAAACTGGGGACATCGGAGACGTTGAGTTTGATTTAGGTTTGTCGACATGTGTTTAAAGACATTGACCTGGGGATTTAATGTTGAAAATCTGTATTCGAATACACGTTAATCTATATTGCATCTTATTCGCAATTTTTATATAGAACGGTAGATGGTCAAATCAATTTACAAGAAATAAAGTATTTTACGTCACGAGATTCTAACCTAAATGATGAGTAGAGAATGACGACTTCCCGTCTTGGCGCTCCTGTGGTGGGGGATGACACTTGCATGGCATGTGACTTGCCGTAAGCAATGATTATTTTCTGACTCCCACTCCGATATCAGCCCGAACGGCTTGGGTTGGGCTCTTGACATTTTTATAGGACAGGCGTTCGTTTGAGTTACAGTGATCCAGTGTTTATCAGGAAGCCACACCATGAATCGAAGTCGAAATTCGCTCTCTTACATTGCACAAACCTGCTTCGATCTGATGACCAGGATTGGTCACCTCAGTGGTGAAACTATTGCCCTGGGTGAGGGTTTAGATATAGATCAGCAAGGGTTTAGATGCAGCTCAGCAAGGGTTTAGATGCAGCTCACCAAGGGTTTAGATGCAGCTCAGCAAGGGTTTAGATATAACTCAGCAAGGGTTTAGATGCAGCTCAGCAAGGGTTTAGATGCAGCTCAGCAAGGGTTTAGATATAGCTCAGCAAGGGTTTAGATGCAGCTCAGCTAGGATTTAGATGCAGCTCAGCAAGGGTTTAGATGCCGCTCAGCAAGGGTGTAGATGCAGTTCAGCAAGGGTTTAGATGCAGATCAGCAAGGGTTTAGATGCAGCTCAGCAAGGGTTTAGATATAGCTCAGCAAGGGTTTAGATGCAGCTCAGCAAGGATTTAGATGCAGCTCAGCAAGGGTTTAGATGCAGCTCAGCAAGGGTTTAGATGCAGCTCAGCAAGGGTTTAGATGCAGCTCACCAAGGGTTTAGATGCAGCTCAGCGAGGTTATACTGCAGTGGCCATTATTTTGAAGTAATTTTCTTTTTAATATATAAACCTTATATTTCTATGTACTTACTTTGTATTAAAAAACGCTTTACAAACCTAAATTCTTCTGCCTTCTTTCGATAGTTTGATCGATATGGACTTTCTAGGCTGCTTAGGTTTGTCTTTATGCCAAATATTATCGTATTGAGTGAGTGTGGTAACATATTTTATTAGCCCAGGGTGTCCCAACCTTTCAGGCCCGTAGCCAGCCTTGTCTCCTAAAGGTTTTGACGATTCCCAGCCTAATCCTACACCCCCTTCTTTAAAACGAAACGCTAAAAGGATATATATCGTGCAGTTCTCATTATCTATATGCTGTTCCCATTATTTATATGCTGTTCTCATTATCTATATGCTGTTCCCATTATCTATATGCTGTTTCCATTATATATATGCTGTTCTCATTATCTATAATGCAGTCCCAATTATCTATATGCTGTTTCCATTATCTATATGCTGTTCTCATTAACCATATGCTGTTCCCATTTTCGAATCCATTTTAGAGCTCCAGATTAAATGTTGTAGGAAATTATTCAGTTTTTAGTAACATTAAATAATTTTTTTCCAATAAAATAGTAAATAGAATTTAATTCATTCGATTGAAAAATTTTGAACAAATAGCATCACGTATCGGACCCCTGCTAAAAATAGAAAATTAATCTAAATTATCTGTAGCAAGAATTTATCTAAATGTTATCCCCCCCCCCCAAATCAGATCCACAAAACACAAAAGAAAACACTTAAAATCACCTTATTGAGAATAACCATTAACATAACGTTTCTTGGTTGTTGTTTTGGGTTTTCTTGGTTGTTGTTTTGGGTTTTTTTGGTTGTTGTTTTGGGTTTTTTTGGTTGTTGTTTTGGGGTTTTTTGGTTGTTTTTTTTGTTGTTTTTTTGGTTTTTTTTTTTTTTTTTTTTTTTTTTTTTTTTTTTTTTTTTTTTTTTTTTTTTTTTTTTGGGGGGGGGGGGGGGGGGGGTTGTTGTTTTGGTGTTGGTTTGTTTGTTTGTTTGTTTTGTTTGTTACAAATTTCTTCTAAAGAACATTGTTGTTTTGGGATTTTAAAAAAGTACTAAACGCGATACCAGTATGTTATTTATTATTTAGAGTTTAACATTGTGATCCAAATATTTCTGGTCCAAAATATCTTCTTTTTTTTTTTTTAAATTTAAACACTGAGCACGTAGAAGTCAACTCAGACTAAAAATAAATAAAAGCAAGACAAGGATCACGAAGGTAAACTCTGCTAAACAAGAGAATATCTCCTTGGCATGAAATGCACTGGAAGAAGTGGGGGCCCTCGCATACTTGGATAACAACATTTGCATAAATGGTGGATCGGACGGTGAATTTGAATGGCTGTGTCAGCATGTGTGCTAATAAAAGAAAATATGGAAGTTGACTCTTGAAACCAAAGTAAGAATTTTCAAAGCAAATGTCAAAATAGCGAGGATCACGCAGAAAGTACAGACCTTAGCGCTCGCCTTAGACTGCTGCCCTAGAAAGATCCTAAACATCAAATGGCCAAACATCATTATCAACAAAGACTTACTGGAAATGGCATACCGCGAGCGTATGGCTGAAGACATCTTAAGGAAAATATTAAGGTGAATAGGGCTCACTCTTTGTAAACCCTCAGATAACATCCTTGGGAAATCCCTAACATGGAATTCACAGGTTCAGGACAGATAGGAAGGTCAAAGAATAAATGGAGAGGCAGACTCTCAAAGTATGGGATACACCTGGAAACAACAAGAAATGAAAGCACAGGACTGACATGAATGGAAAATTATTGTAGACGACTTATGCCCCCATACGGAGTAAAGCCATAAGTAAGTAAGTAGAGGACGATGAAGCGCTAGAAGGGACTAGACAGCACTGGGCGATGCCAGAGTATACAGACGTTGGGAATTCGGTATGTCCAACTGTGTTGATCCGCGCAATTAAACTCTAGCTACAAGTGTATGAGTAAGAGGTAAAATATCACAATGTTTTCTTTAAAATGGCTCCGCTGTGATACGATGGCCCCCACATGGCCCCTATGTGATACGATGACTCCAATTGGGCCCTGTTGTGATCTGATGACCCCCTCCCACATGGCCCCGCTGTGATACAATGACTCCCACAAGGTCCCGTTGTGATCTGATGACCCCCTCCCTACATGACCCCGCTGTGACACGATAACCCCACATGGCCTCTTTGTGATATGTTGACCCCCACATGGCCCATTGTTATCTGATGACCCCCTCCCCACATGGTCCCGCTGTGATAAGGTGGCCCCCACATGGCTTGTTGTGATATGAAGACCCCCTCCCCACATGGCCCAGTGGTGATCTTATGAACCCCCACATGGCTCATCTGTGACATGATGGCCACCACATGGCCCCACTGTGACACGATGACCCCACAGGGCCCCATTGTGATCCCATGACCCCTTCCCACATTGCCCCGCTGTGATGCGATGTCCCCCACAAGGCCCCATTGTTATCTGATTACCCCCCCCCAAATGGCTCAGCTGTGATCCAATTCCCCCCCCCCACATGGCCGCTGTGGTCCGATACCCCGACCTACGTTGTCACGCAGTAAGCCATATGATGACATACATTGGTTTTGTTTTATTTTGTTAATCTTTAAGTTTGTTTTACTGTTATGTCCCCCACAAGGCCCCATTGTTATCTCATTACCCCCCCCCCAAATTGCTCAGCTGTGATCCAATTCCCCCCCCCCCACATGGCCGCCGTGGTCCGATACCCCGACCTACGTTGTCACGCAGTAAGCCATATGATGACATACATTGGTTTTGTTTTATTTTGTTAATCTTTAAGTTTGTTTTACTGTTAAAAATGTGTTTGCATTTTGAGTTTGAACTACGGGCGTGGTAAGGTTATTCTCTATGTTTGAACAATGGGCGAGATGAGTTTATTCTCTATGTTGGACGACAGATCAAAGAATAGCCATGTTGGCCCCGGGGGGGCTAGAAGTAAGTGCAGGAACACAATGCATTATTAAACGCGTAGCCATCTTGTTTTGCTTTAACTGGAGAAATGATTTAGGGTCTTGGTAACCTGTAACAATGGTGACCATGCCCACCGAAGGATATCATTTCGGACTAGCTGCACAAATTGGATGCAAGGTCAGTTTGAATTTTTTGCATCCCTATTTGAAGGGCAATTTACCCCCCACCCCCACCTTTTTTTTTTGGAGGGGAGTGGGGGGGGTGGGTTAGGTCTGTCCAGAATGCTATCAGTTTGTTCCTAAATCTGATCTGACTGGTCTTAATTTTTGTTTTCCCCAAACGTTTGATACGCCCGCGACTAGAAGATAAAAATCGTTTGAATCGATTGATCTAATGCAATGATCGCTGTGTCACAGATCATAGGTTGGCCGGCATTGTAAGCATAGACTGTAAACTTGGAACCACGTGGCCCCAAGCTACGTAACATATAGGTTGGCCGGCATTGTAAATATAGACAGTAAATTTGGAAGCACGTGGCCCCAGCAATGTAAATAGTTTTCATTGTTTACTGGTTGTTGTAATGGGTACGGTTGCAAAGGTGGGAAACGGGATGGAACTAACGTCAGAACGGTGTAGAATATTGTGTTATGGAGGTGGGGCGGAGAAGGGGCGACCAAGCGGCTTCCAGAGCGGTCTGTAATTTTGTATCAAAGAGGATCCATTTTTCTATAAACGATATTTGCCAAGTAAATATTCCCTGGAGACGATGACAGCGTGGGTTTTTTAAATGAATTTATGGATAAGTATTTACCACAAAAAAAAGCCACATCAGTTCCTCCAAAGGACGCTTGCGGCTCCAGGGTTGTGGGGTGCTGACCAATGGGTTATGGGGTTCGATTGAAAGAGGTGAATGGGGTTAAAGGGGCTCGTTCGTAAATTACGTCACGCTAAATTACACCAGAAACAATAGCAAATGCTTCAAAGTGCCTCCGTGCAACACAGTGCAGTATCAACAATCTTTCTCTCCACGAACAATAATAGCATGGAACCACCTGAACGATGCCACTGTGAACTCGACATCGGTCGAAAGTTTCAAGGCCGCCCTGGCATTAGCTAGGAGCTGTTAGACTAGCAACATCATGCCCCGAACCGTTGCAAAAATGCCAGTAAATGGATGCAACAACGAAACATTACCAGAACCAGAACCAAATGACCTTTTTAGACCCCCCTCCCCCCTGTCACGAAGTATCACAAATTATTTACACCCTCCTCTCCCCCC